TGAACAAAAGACATTGCCACCCTTGTGCATGGACGGTGAAATAAAAACATTTCTTAGCTTTTGCTTTCTGCGACAATTTACAGAACTCTCACATATAAAAAATTGGGAGAAGAAACGATGGTAGCATGGAATCCGTAGAATTGATAGGCGATGCAAGATTTCAAGTTAAGATGGCAATACTTTCATTCACAGATCAGCCAGAACCGAAGTGTTTTCAAAAAATCTTGAACACAATTGGTTTTTTAGCTCCCGGAGCGCGAGTGATGTTTCTGCTGAAAGAGCGAAGCGAAATGCCGGCACTGTTCACCGAGATGGGCGAACTGTCCCGTTCGGGAACAGTCGAAGAATGGCGCGAGACGGCACGCTGGGTAAAATTCGAGGAAGATGTGGAGGAAGGCGGTAACCGATGGTCGAAGCCGCATGTTGCCACTCTCTCACTTCATGCCCTCTTCCAGCTACGCTCCTGCCTGATGAATGGAGTTATCATCATGGATTCTGAAGCGAAAGAGTTCGGAGAACTTGTTGGTAAGTGATTTTGAAAGAAATCGACTTTGAAGAAATTAAATTTTAGCTTGTTTACCGCTTTTGCTAAGAAACAACTGAATTTTGTTACTTTAGGACTTTGAAAAGCTGCATTTCATTATGTGATTCTCTAGGTATGGGGTTGGCAACTTTTCCAATACTGCTTTACCTACTGCTATTTCGTACTGTGTTCATTCTGTTGGCAGTCCTGGCGCTTGCTCCGTCTCTTGAAAGGATTAGCAGATTAACGACAACCCAAGCAGAAATACTTAGCAGGGCTTCGTAATTTCTCTGGTTTGTATATGTATGTGTGTTGAGCAACATAGCATCTTAAGCGTCGCTCCTCCAAGCCGCCATATAACACGATTATCGACCTGAAATTAGATAAGTTTGCTAAAAGTATGCATGATTACTTGCATCTCATCCCCACATCTTCATCAAGCAATGCACTTTTTTACTTCATAAGGCATTCTACCAGTTACTGGCAAAAAGTTGTTTTATGTATTTCTTCCACTTTTGTTTCCATTTTCCCAAAAATACATTTTTTCAGTTTTTTCGACTCATCTGGTTTTTGTGCGTTTTTGTCGTGCAGCGCTAGAGCGCTGCAAAAGGCAGCAAAAACGCATATTGCAACGACCCTGTCACTCTGTGTGCGTATGTTAGTGTGTGT